GCATTTTATTTTGTCTGAAAAGGTTTATTTCCTTTTCTGATAAGTTTATTAAACAGTTTTAAAAGAAGCTTTCTTAAAGTTAGTATTTCTTGTTGCCTCTGATAAACCTTATGATTGAATCCTGGTGTCAAAGCTAAAAAAGCATTCCAACCAAAGGTGGAAAAGTGACTCCATAAATCCTCTTATTTGAGCCGGTAAATGAATGCCATTAATGCCTAGTTTCTCATTCCTTGTTGAATGGAAAATTACGTTTTCACATGCGACAGTCTGTTTTGGACATATATGAATCAATATGTGAAAACAGGTTTTTAATTCACTCAGGATATTTTTGTAATATTAACCCTTTAATGCTCTTAGACAGTGAACTCTAACAGTGGGGGGGGATGGGGGTCTCCATCTTTTACTGCCGCCTACAGACCCTCCTGTTCTCTTCCTCAGTTCTGACCTGACCGACAACCTTCAAACCGACCAATCACAGAACATCTTCCAGCTGGCCACGCCCCTTTAACACAACCAGGACATCATCGATTTCAGCCATGGCTAAACCTCTATTACCATGACGACCACTTCCAATCCCCACAGCAGAGACTGTTGCCTTGGAAACGTTAAAACCAAACATCAGATGACGATGATGGTGATGGAGGAGGGCGGGCTGTCCAAACAACTGCCCAGATTAAAACTTCAGTTCCCATCATGCTCTCTGCTGGGGGGGCTGAATGCTTCTTGATTTTTCCTTTTCTTCTTTTCTTTTGCTTTCGTTTTAATTTCCAGCATTCTGATTCCAATCGCATGCAGCTTGACCGTCGGCCATGTTGGGGCTGCGGTTGCCCCGGTGACGGCTGTCTGTGTGTACCGCTCTGGTTAAACCTGTGGATCCTTACAGTGATTATTATTATTATTATGGCAGTGCTTATTATAATTCTGTGTAAAAAAAAAAAAAAAAAAAAAAAAAAAAAAAATATCTTAAGTCACTTGATGTTTTTAGTTTTAATTCTCGGGTAGGTGGGGCTAACGGCGTGCAGCAGGTCACGGGGACGGCTCACTGTGTTGCTGAAAGGAACAAGGAGGCAGAAGGTTGACAGTTCTCTCATTTATGAAATAATACGGTAACAACGAGCCGTTTCTATCAAGGGAAATCTTCAAAAACTTTTTTGATTTGCTCTGTCAGCAGCAGCAGCACGGCTAAATAATCTTTTTAAGGATAAGTTGAGATACTTTAATAAGTCTCTGCATTTTTTTAGATAAAAGTTTTAAATCTGGATTTCAAAAGAGATAAATTTAAACATTTCTGACCATATATGAACCATGAACTGTGTGTCAATTTAGCTCTTTTTTGTTTATAGCTTTTTAACCTTATTTTTCCAAAGAAATCTTGGTTTAAAGTGGAAAGTATGCTAACTGTGCCAAATAACTGAGTCCAGTTTTCTTCATACTTAAATTAGATATAAAATAACATTTATTTATGAAAAGATAAAAAGTAATGCTCCCCTGCTAGTAATAAAGTTCCGATGAATTGAATGATTTAGCCCTTGAATTAATTTGTTTTAATCTCTAATAACTTAATAGCTACCAAATTTTACACCACATAGCTATGTTAGCATCATTGCTAATGACAATTTAAAACTGTTTACCCTAAGCTGTTGTAGATTAAGTTACTGGTAACATTAGCTATTAGCAATTTAAACAAATTTAAGCAGCTATTATCATCAATGCCAACTTTAGCTACTAGATTTACGTAGCTCTGACTAAAGTTAGCAGTTAGTGAGAAAACTAGTAGCTAACTGTGTGCTTATGGAGTTTTTAAATCTGGGGTTTAAATACATATTATATGTTGCTGTAAACTCTAAAGAGCTTTAAATAAGTTTTCAACTTAGCCTTAGAGTTGATGAGCATTAGATATGTAAGAGAAAACTGTGATTAAAGGGAGGAGCTGTTTGATAAAATGAGCAGGTATTTAGCTCGTTAGCAGCACAGTGAGCGCAGTCTTGACCTGCTGTGATTGGCGAACGTGTTGCCTTCAGACAGCAGACTCACACTGGTCCAGGAGAGCAGCTGGGAGGGCCTAGGAGAGCTGTTTCATGTTAGCCATATTGATAGCAGCTTCTAATAACTCTGCTTAGAGGGAAACAACTTTATTCCCCTTTTGATATAAGATGATCATTGAAGTCGTTCTTCATGACCTCCCTGGTTCTACCCAGCGCTTTGATAGATTTCAGGATAACGTCAGTTTCCTGCTGAATGGTTTCCAAGGAGACAGAAATGGGATTAGAGATCAAACTGAGATGGAGTCAAAGAAAGAAAACAGAACATCTCACAGGAACGGTTCCTTAGACGGTTCCTCGGACCTCTGTGAGTTCTGCTGCAGTGTTGTACTATCAGGAGCGCTGCGGTACGGTGGGGTACTGCTGTCAGTATTCTGGTTCTCCTCCAGTACGGTCAGTCATGTAGCATGTTGTTTTCGACAAGTACTCAGTTGGACCTCCAGGAGGTGCTGTGACAGGTTGCATGCTGTTCAGAAGCAGTGGAAGGTCTGTTTGCAGCCATGGCGATGGGATTGTTGTACCTGAGAACTGATGGAGATTTTATTTCTGCCACTAGAGGGCGACAGTATGCTTTAAAAAACAAATTAACACAGCAAATGTTTATCACTGCTTAGAAATTTTATTTTCAGCTTGTTAAGAATGTGTTTTATAAATAGCTATGAATGTCCTTTTACTTCTTTACTGCTAATTTTCCTCTTTTTTTCCCCTTTTATTGATGCAGGATTGTTTCAGAGATAGTCGGTCTGTTTGTATGAGCCATTAAACTGAGCCTTGGCTGCATTTAGACCTTTCCGGCCTCCAAACAGCAGGCTGCAGGAGCTTTCGTCATTTGCCAAACTCAGATTCTGGATACATCAGATCTACAGTCTGTTTGGAAAACTCTTGTTTTAAAGAATACTGAGGCCTTAACTGTAGTGGTTGTACTAATAATTAGCATTTTTGGTTGTGAGCATTTATAACCAGTTTGTAAAAATGTAATAAATGGAATAAAACTTTGTGATGTAGCTATAAGCAGATATGTTTGTGTGATGCTTTCAAAGGAAATGTAATGAGCTCAAATGTTGTGCAATAATAAACTTCTCTAGTCCATTTATCTGCTTAGACCCACATTACAGTGTTTTATAAACCGTTTTACATGTTTAATCTCTGATTATAAAAGCTAGACTCATCCTAATCCAAGAAACTGTTGCAGTTCCCTAAAACGCCCGACTTGCATCAGTGACGATTGCAACTGCAGCCAAAAGAAAAGTGGAAATTGTTTTCCTCTTATTGAAATAACTTCTTTTTTTTTTTTTCAATGTATGGCATGGTTACCAGTGAAATGTTAAAGAAACCAGTTCAGCCAGTAAAGTATGCGGCTAAAAGCCCGGCGAATGGGCCGATGGGAGATTCTGAACTGGTTTCTTCTGTTCCAGAAACCCACAGCAGCAGCACAGAGAGGCAGGGGAGTGGATGGGGGTAAAGCCAAATGTAAAAAAACAAAAACTAAGAAGCCTTAAATGAATAAAACTGGTGCAATTTTGTAACAGAAACATGTGTTGGTCAGTCATTCCTTAATGATGATGGATGAGGGAAATATCCTTAAACATCACATCCTGCTACAAACTCTGACTTCATATTTGATAGTAGGTGGTTACATGGTAAATTGAAAAGCTGGTGGGGTAAGAATACTGCTCTGAAATAAAAATATAAAAACTGGCCATGCAGTCTGCGTCCCCTGAGTTGATGCTGGTTTAAACACTTCATCCTGGTGAGTCTATTTCCAGGCCTTGGCTCCGATTCTACACTGGTTATCCTGCCACCACAGTCATCTTAGTTATGAACAGTTCAATTTGAAATAAAGATTCATTTCAATTCAGAATAAAAAAAAAAAAATAAAAAAAAACAGATTAATTCAAATTACAAGACAGGTGAAATGTGATTGCTTGTGGTTTTCCTTCCATTTTGTTGCTCTATGATGCTAAGAACTCGAAACAATATAAAAGGGATGATGCACGGATATGATTGCCATTAGAGTAAAAAAATAGAGAAAATATGTGAATTTATAGTTTTTAAAATATAATCTGTGTTCGTAAAAATGTAAATGGTAAGACAATATGTATATATTTTTTAATTCATTAAATTTCAAACAAAATTTTTGTTTTTAACCCTCATGTTATTTTTATACATTGTTTGAGGTCCATATTTGTGTGACCATTTTGTTTTCTATAATCTGAACACCAGAATTTCTCCATTGTGGGAAGAGAAAAGGAATCTATATTCTGTTCTACTCTATTCCTAGGTCTCCAGTTTCAAACTTGTTAAACGCGCGTGCGCATCACGTCTCGCTGCCGTGGCAACAGTGGTGTTTGGTCAGGAGTTCCGCCATGAAAGTTTCCCCATCTGTTCCTTTCTGCTGTTCCCATTGCGCTTTTGAACAACTTTTTACGGTGATGGCTAATAACCTCATGGTGCATTCAAGTACATTTTGTAGCTTTGAACATCTATATTAGAACCATTGACAACATTTTTAATGCTTTCAATATTACTACTTCTTGGCAATTTAGCGTTTTTTGTGTTTTGCTTCTTTAATCAAACGGTAATATCTGCAAAAAAGTGCTATAAAAATTAAAAAATAGTGATTAATATGAGACGAATCGGATCTAATTCTAGGTCCTGTTGGCAACAATTCAAAAGAGACATGGAAAAAAAGAATTTGCCAAGGATAGCAATTATGAAAACGATAAAGTTGATAATTGTAAAATAAATAAAAAAACAAACAAACAAAAAAAAAAACATACAAGGGAAACACTTAAAGTGACCTGGAATCATGTTTATGAACATTATTATCTTTGCAACATTTGATTTTAGAGGTAGTTTCAGTACAGATGCTCTAACGCACGACAGGACTTGAACGCACCATGACTTAAAAGCGACCGTAAATCCTGTAAAGAGGAGCAACAGGTGTGTAAACGCTCAACCCAGTGTTGGATGAATAACCGGTAGAGTCTGTTAGCCGTTAGCGCCTCACCTGATCGGTTAAGGGAAATAACGAGGCTCTGGTTGGTGTTTAATCTGCGGTGAGTGACCATTTCCGGTATTTCCTTAAACAAGAAGGAGCGCCATGACGGTCCGCTTCAAGGTAAACAACAGGTGATCTAAACAAAGTGATGCTAGCTGTGGTAGCAGCAGCTCACAATGATTAAAACTTAAATAAGTCATTTCAAAAGCAGCTGATCTGAATTATTTGTTATTTATGTTTAATTGTTTCGGTTTACAGCTCATAAGAACGAGGATCAGTTGGGTTTTAATCTGATATAATCTTATAATCCCAGTCGAACAGATACACTGGCCTAGCTTTTTACCAGATTTTAGTGTTTTTCTGAGCTCACCTATGATTTAACACAATTATTAATTCATTACATTAGTGATATTATCTGTTTAATTTCCCTTTAGGATTCAATGTGTATTTTATTAAATAGTATTCAGGAGAAAGAAGAAATTATAATTTCTATTTGTTCAAATGATTTTCCTGACTTTAATCCTTACCAACTTTAATTGTTCATTTTTACTCCATTGTTAATCAGGCAAAGCTTAATCTGACCTTTAGTTTAAATCCCAACCTGCTGAAATATTGAGCTTTCTGGCTTTTTTTCCCTTCTTATTAATTGAAGCTGTAATTGATCATATATTAATCACATGTTAATTTAAGGCAGTTTATTACAATGAAATCAGTTTATTGATGTTTTGTTAATGAAAGCATAAAACTATAGTCACCTCCCACCTTCAGGGAGTCAGGCCATAAACAATGGCTGTAATTTATTACATGTGAACTACATGTAGCACTTCTGGCACATCATCAGATAGTGTAATATACTTAATATCTGACTACAGTATTATTATGCTCCATGAAAACATTCATTTTGCTGTGGTGGATTTAAATAATATGTTATGTTACATGATTTATAGTGAGCCTATTTTATTTATTTTTTTACAATAAATGGCAGTAATCTACTGATGCTATGAAACAGCAAGTGTGTCTCAAAGTGATGAATTTATCTTTATAATTTATAAGTTTTAAGCCCCCCTGATATGAGAAAATCATCATTGTTTGACGCACGTATTGTTTAACCGGTCTAACTAGGGCAGGGGTTGGGAATCCGCGGCTCCAGCTTTTTCAGAAATGTATAAAAATAGATTGTTTCGGTTTGTTTATTTTAATATGTTGTGCAGGAGGTCAAACAGACATTCATTATGTTTTCCAATGCTGTAAACATTTGTATAATGAATAACTTTAAACACTATATGTAAACATTTAGTTCAACGAAAATGTGCATCATAGCCAAAGAGATCAGTGGTCATAGCCTGCAACAGGTGTCTCAGCGTGGCGCGGTGTCAGGCAAACAAAGAGGCGGGTGTGTCCCTGGCCATGGATGCCAAAGGGAAAAAAACCTGATGAGAGCAGAGGATACAAAGAAAGATGAAACCAAATCATTATCAATTAGCAAAGATTGTCTGCATTTTTGTCTTTGGCATGAGAATTTGTTAAATAATAAAATTAGTAACTTGGAAAAGCATTTCAAGGGAAGGTTAAATATACAGCCGATCACAAAGTTGGGAGTGAGAGAAAGAATGTGATTGCAGAACTTCTGGATAAATTAGAGGATCGCAAAGATAGATTTTAGAAGTGGATTGCATCTCCAAACTCCACTACTGCTGCTAGTTTTGTTGCAAGGATGAAAAAAAACGTCCACAGATCGAACAGGCAGCGCTCTGATGCAGGAATTTGAATTTTTTTCCATTTTTCCCCCAAATCCTCAAAATATAAATCACTCCAAGGAACACTGGTGACGGAGGATGTGGGATTTCTAGGTTAGAGAGCTGTGCTCTGATGGATGTCACTTCCTGTTTGGTTCCTCATGACTCAATCAGCTCCTCCCAACAGAAACTCAACAGATTCCTTTATCGTGTTTCTATAATTTCATCATTGCAACAAAACCTAAACCGCGCGGTGAAGCAGTGCACAGTGAGAGCGTTCACTACTCCTCCCTCACCTCATGCTGCTGTGTGACCTTTGCTCCAGGATATATATTTACTCATGAATGCTTATTATATATTTAAGCCCATATAGTCCTTTTCTATAGTGGGATGATACACTTGGAGCCCGTGTTGCCATACGAGGCATATATAAGATTTTTTGTGGCTCCAGACAGATTTGTATTTTGGTCCAATATGGCTCTTTGAGCAGTTTGGGTTGCCGACCCCTGAAGTAGGGAGTACCAATATGGCGGCTGGTGACTTCACAGCAATGTGTATTACCAACAGCCAATCAGCAATCCAGTGAATAAATAGAGATCAGTGATTTAGACTCTAGGATTCTGACACCTTTCCTGTTTTAGAACCAGACAGAGTACCAGAAGAGCTATGGGGTTTCCCGATCCAGAAGCGTCTCGCCCCGCCGCTGCCTCCCGCTGGCCGGTCTTCGGTCTGAACAGATGGGTAATCTGAGGATGAATCTGGAGATCAGATTAATCTTATGTAAAATCTAAAAACAAAGTGTGAGTTGATCTAAAATGTCCTCAGCAGGCTCCTGTCCTGTCTGTATCTGCAGGGATCAGCAGGAAACCCGGTCCGCTTGGTGCAGCCCGGTCTGCCAGCTCTCTGCTTGCTCCTCCAGAGGATCCAGGTGATCAGACTATGAGAACAGCGCCCCCAGCTGGTAGAAATGGTGAGTCTGTAGGTGAACAGGAGCTGAATGGTTCATTTCAGGCAGGGAGTGATTGGTCCTTTTTCAATTCACAAGAACGTGAGTACGGACTCGTGTCCACGCCAACTACGTTCTTCACCAGAACACAGATAAGTGTTTAATCTGGGAGAACGGGAGCACGCAGCATAAATATGGCTCAATTGGAACAGAAGCATACTGATGACATCACCACATGCTAGAACGCACAAATACACATACTGAGAAACATACTTTTGGTGAAGTCAGAAGAAAATGGTTCCCAGCAGATTCTGTTTTTGACTTTTGGTTCTTCGTGATTTTCTCTTTAAAATCCAGTTTAAAGCAGAACTTTTAGAACCTTTTCAATGAAAACTTTTCATTTGAAGAATCAGAGGTTTTCATCTGCTTTAAATTTCAGCTTCTCCAGCTTCTAGGAGGCGTTTAGCACAGAACAATCCACCAAAGATGGACTCCAAACCAGCAAAGGATTCTGAACCTGGATCTCCAGCAGGACTTGAACCAACCGTCGGCCTTGAAGCTGCACCCAGACCAGAACCGGGGTCACCTTTCAGACCAGTACCTGATGGGAAATCCGGTAATTGTACGAAATATGAGACATCTGACTATTTGTTACCACAGACCATCTAAGGTCCAGATCTGTTCTGTGCCCCAGCAAAGCTCCTCCCCTCTGAGCTCGAGCCCGGCGGACCGGCGGAACCAGAACCTGATAACCAGGTAGGACCACCGGAAAGCTGACGCTCATACAGGAACATCAGAGAGCGTCAGGATCTCACTGCTCTGTGTTGCAGGTCGACCAGGCGCTGCGCTGGAAGGCGGGGCTAAGACCTGGAGGTCAGAGGTCAAGGGGTCAGAGGTCAGAGTACCACAGACAGTTTGGCTGGAAGAACCTTGAATCTGCAACATCGCCTTTACTGACAGCAGAGCGGGTGAGAGATCATCCATATATAATGCACTGATTTAATAACAGACGTTTCTAGATTTCTACAAAATGCTGCATTTTTTAAACATTCATAACATTTGGATGTTTAAAACTGAATTATCTGGATCCAGTTTAACATTTACAGCGTTAGCTTCCAAAATCTTAGCTTTAGATAAAATAATAAAACAGTTTTAAATACTGATAGAAAACAAATACCAATAACTGAAGTCTCTGCCATGGAGAAGAGGGATCTAGAGAAACTGATCCAGCTTCTACCTGAACCGAATCCATTTTAAAATCTCTCCAGATGCTACTGAACCTGTAGGTTTAAGAGGAACCAAAAGCGAACAGGTTCCCCAGCTGCAGCGGATCAGACTGTCCCTCATTAGCTCTGCACCAGCTTTCCATCAGCCTGAGGTCCGGTTTGGGATCTATTCTCACTGATCTATGAGCCTGCTGCTCTGTAGCCCTGACGTTATGCTACGTTCACACCTAAAGCAGCGGGACGCGCTGCAAGAGCAGCAGCTGCTGGAGTTGGAAAAATGTAACTTTTGCTGCTTGATGCTCCACATCAACCAATCAGAGAAGCTGATCTGGGAGCTGGCAGGGAGAGAGACAGTGCTAGTTATCCAGATCACTATGATCACTCCTCTGAAACTGTTTACTAAAGGGGTCATAGAATGATTCTACAGGGTATTTGGTGCTGGTCCTTAAGGTCTCTGAATAGGGTGTGTAACATTGGTTGGGTTGAAACTGGCATATTTGCTGTTCTATGAGCCCTAGAGCCAGCGGGGGACGGAGCGACCGAACCCACCCCAGTGACAGTAGCCTGGACAACGGCGGCCCCGTGCTTCCTGGTAGTAAGGCAGGTGGGTGGAAGCATACCTACAACGGATCGGATTTGGTCGCTCCGCCCCCCCGCTGCCCCCCCACAAAAAAAACAAACAAAAAAAACGGTCCTTTTCAGAAACCCAAATCTGGTCAGCATAGATATGCTAGCATTGCTAACAACAGCTTAGCGACAGAGTCACACTTACAGCTTGTGGTTGTGATGGCATTACGGTCAGAACAGCCCCTCGTTTCAGTAGTTTAGCAAATCCTGCTCTGAACTGTCCAAGATATGAAAGCTGTCTTTGGTCAAATGCTTAGAGCAAATGAACAGCTGACAGCAACTCTTTCAGATGTGGGACAGGCGGACTCCATCAGGACCCTTAGAATGACTGAGGGGTTTGAGTCTTTGAGTCACACTGAGACCGATTGTTTGGTTTCCTTTGGTTCTGGTTTGGAACCAGGAACGAAAACCAAAAGGTGTTTCAGGAACTTCCCATAAAAACAGATGATTCAGCAGAGGACCCACCTGCTGGCTAATCAGGACCCAACCTGATTTCAAACATTTATAAATTACCGCATGTTGTCCGACGACAGTGTCCAACTTCACTTGCCCCTCTTCTCCTGTTAATACGGTAAAGCCCTCCAGAGCGTCTGGCACCAGGCTGCACGTAATACAAATGATCCAATAAGCTGCTGTCAGTCTGGGTTGCTGCTGCTGCTACTTTTAGACACAGCAGGCAAACCTGTGGCAAGCCGGGCGATGGGAAAGAAGGAGAAGATGATNGAAGCAGGATTCTCCACCATGAACAGAATCAGAAATTAATATGGATCCAGACTCTAAATGAGCTCCTTGATATGTGCTTTAGAATGGCTTAGTCTCCATTCAAACCAGGTTTAAAGCCTTGCAGGGCAGCATAAAGCCCACTGCCAACATTAAGCTAGAAAAAGGAAAGGTAAAAAGGTCAGTTCAGGTGTAAAATATGTGAATCAGGAAATTGTCTATATACCAAACTGAACGATTGTTGTTCTCTACTTCAGAACACTTTTTTAAAATGTTATTTAAAAATTCAATGTATGACATGGATGCATGAAAACCTGCTTTTTATTTCAGTGTTAAAAAGAAACGCTGCCCTTTTGTTAACATTTCTATTTATCTGTCACCATCTGTGGCGCCGTTTCCTGAAGCAGATTTTATCTCGGTGAAAGTTGCCGACTGAAAAAGCAGCAATCTTCAATCATGAATAACTTGGCTCGCTTTAAACAAAATAAAAACTTTATTTCTGATCAAAGTTGGTTAAACCAGACAGCTTTTAACACATAAAAATTGAAAATCTGAAGACAGTAGATGTTTTTCTCTGTGAATAAATGAGCTAAATTACTATTAAACTCATTACCAGACAGGTTTCATTAGGTCAGTGATTTAACATTCCTCTTGGTGCTGATGGAGTTATATTTTTATTATATTTTTGTTTCTCATGGAAGCTTCTTAATAAGACGACTACAGGATATTAGAATAACAGGAAATGTTTGATGATATACTGGAGACAGTCACGATAAAAACTGAACTTTCAATAAATTCCCAGCTCAGTAAAAAACTAATTTGTGTCTGCTTGGAGATTATAGCAAACATGAACCATAAATAATAAGTTATTATCCAGCTAATAAGTTAATCTCTTAAGTTTCCCTTTAAAACTACAGTCCAGCAAATAAATAATCAGAATTCTTGAAGTCCTACCAGTTCCTCCAGGTTTACATATTAGGATAATAAATTAGTGACATATTGTGCAGCCTTAAACTGCAGGATCAAGTAGCGATGATTTATAATATTAAACATATTAAAAATATGTTATTCTTTTAGATATTGTTTGAATTATGTTAGGAAAAACTGGTTAAATATAACCAAAATTAGATAAATCTTCCATATAATGCACCAAAGCAAAAAGCTAAGGTGAACCTGAATAAATCCGAACGGCTGCTCTGACCTTTGACCTTGGCTCCAGCGTTCTGCTGCAATTCTACAGACTGTCCACCAGATGGCAGCAGGCCAGCCTCAGCTCTTTAAAGTTCCTCTCTGAGGTTCTTTAGTTGTTCATCTCTGACTCCATCACACAGGTGTTGTACTCCAGCAGCCGGTCGGTGCCACCGTTTAAGAAGAACCCCGTTTCCATGGAAACAGAGTACCGCAGGAGCTTCCGGGGTCTGATCCCGCCCTCCGGGCCTCGCCTTCGTAGCCGTCTGGAACATCACAGTGACCCGCTGTTCCACAAGTTCAGAGTAAAGAACAGACACACTATGAAGTAATGGCTTCTAATGTTACTGCTGAACACATGATTCAGAAATCCTTTGATTAACGGAGGATTTCATGGCCGCCTCAGTGGCTGCAGAGCGACTCCCTCAGCGTTACCAGCCTCAGTTCTGCTGCCACGGTCCGCCCTCAGAACCTCACATGTTGAAGTGACCAAGCTGCTCTCCTGCTTTTACCTGCAGATCAACTGGAGGAAAACATTGGAGCCACAGAAAAAGCTTCCTAGCAAAGCGGAAACGGCTCAGAGCGACGATGGCAGGTCTCCTGCTCGGGTGCAGAGAAGACGCAGGTGTGTTTCTGTCTACGTGCTTCTTGGCGTCTTTGATTGATTAATTAATTCATTTATGAAACCGCTCCTGTGTGTCTGGCAGGATGTTGACAGAGTATCAGTCCAGCTTTCGTTCTCCTCTCTACAGGAACCCAGAGGGAGGCGGAGCTACTGATGACATGGCGGAACAGGTCAGTTTAACAAACCGCCTCAGAGGGACAATCGGCTTTAAAACTGTTCACTTGATATTTTATTCTTTAAAACATATTGCTGTAGTTAAGGGTCATAAATATTTAATTTAAACTAGTTTGATGTCACAGAGCATCAAACAATCAAAGAAGGAAAGTTGAAAGAAAGAAATAGTGACTTAAACCCCATTGATGAATCTCCGCCCCCAAAGTTCTGGTTGAGTTTCCAGGTTAAATTTGAGGGTTAAAGTGAGATAATACCTCCACCTCCATGCTGTTTAGATTCAATAAGAAGCTGACTGAACCAGACTGACCGATCTCTGGTTTAATTTAGATAATTCAGGTTTTCATGACTTTTGGACAATCAGACCACTTTGACCAGATCTGATAGGAATCAGTGACGACTAAAATGAATCAGACTGAGAGACGTCTCTAGGTGTCTTGGTGCAGAAGTGCAGCCAGAGGTCGGCGTGGGATGCTGTAACACGGAGGCTTGTTCTGGATGCGTCATGCGCTGATCCAGACCTCTAACGTTAGGGCAGTGCTGACGAGTCCAGAGGTGGCCTAAAGAATCATCATGATAATCCTTATAAAATCTCTCAACCCAGACAGGAAGCTCTTTAGCCACCTTCTTAAATTTAACGTTTCTTAAGTATTAATACTAATAAAATACAACAACTAAACACTTCAGGGTATTTTCTGAGTATATCTGATAGATCAAAGCAGTACATCATTCTAGAAATAAGAAAAGTTTATTTTAGCTTCATAACTATATTAAAAGATTTTAAACAGCATCTCTTTATCGAACGTGGTGAAGGTAATCTTTAACCCTTTATAGGGCAAGTTACCGTTTTTGAGAACACCTACACACCTCACAAAAAGAGACCCCCCCCATCCCTCAGTGAGATCTAGAAGCACTAGATCTATATCCAGCCATTCAGCAAAGATGCTGCTACATGGCTGTACATCTTATTCTAGCATCTGACCAATTAGATTAGCCCTGATATATTAGCTACTGTAAATTAGGTTAAAAAAAAGTTAACAATCCGAAAGGTAAAAAGCTAATTGAAAATAAAAAAAAGTTTAAAAGCCTACCAGTAGTTATCAATTATATTTAGGTTTATAAACTAAAAAATGTAAGTGCCAGAATCCATATCATTATATTAATGCCTCTAAGGTTATATTGTACCAAACAAAAGTGTTTCTTTTTCATTAATTTCTTATAGAAGCACTTTATTATTTTTCTTAATATATTCTGGCAAGTTGGCGTTTCTCATTATTACATTGACATTCATTTTTGCCATCAGAATATCCATATTTTTAATGTTACAAAGCTAATAATGTCTTGTCCTGGATTCCAATTCCAACACTTTTGGCTTGAAATTTTGATTTTCAAAGCATTTCACTGAGTGCTTTATAAAAGGTTAACAGTTTGAGCTTTGGGTAAAACTGAACTCACCACACTGGCCATGGTGGAGGCTGCATCATGCTGTGGGAAGGTTGTCCTGATCCAGAACAATCCTGGAAGCAAACCTGTGAGAGGCTGTGGTGGAGATTGACTACAGCATACAGTCAGTAGGGTTTAGATCAAAGTATGTTCATGGGTCAGAGCGGCCTAGTCAAAGTCCAGACCTAAATCCAGGGATCAATCTAACCTGATGGGGTTACAGTTGTTTTCTGAGGAGAAACGATCAAAGATGTCGGCCTCTGGGCGTGCAAAGCTGGTTCTGCAGAGTATTGTTGATGAATGAATAAAGAAGCCAGGCTTCTTGACAAACAGTGTTTGTTGACAATGAAACAAATGCTAGCATGATAAACCAGAGTAAATGTGAGATTAAATGTGTAATTTAGTCTGGCCCCAATGAGACATCGGAACATTGTTGATGAGAACAACCCCTTGTTTTTCAAACCATGTCTGCGCCTATTGACCAACGCTCACTTGTAGTGATCATGGAGTTGGACTATTGTTGTTGTTTGTGCAAAAAGACATGCGAGTATGCGGTGTACTACACCACTGTACACAACTTTTCCGAGGTTCAAATCAAACCTTGTCAGTGGCAGAAAGATTACAGAAAGTTGGAGCGAACATTTCGATTACACCGGGGAAATCCAATCGAGTCAGTAGAGCTTGTACAACGGTGTTGAATAGACTGGAAGAGATCTGCCAAATTACTGGAGGTGGATTGAAAACGAGGTGGAAGCAGGAGCCCCGGCAGAATGGAAAGCTGCTGAAAAGAAAGCCCGGGAGCCTACTACCTCGAAAACACAGAGACTTGAAGAAGCTCCGCCACAACACAGACAAGCCAAGGATATCTGTCGCTCTTCCGCGCAACATAGCCTTGCAGAGTTGACATTATCAGTATGTAATTACGACCTGTGACGGCAAATCTATCTGCTTAATTTTCCAACACAGTCGTGCACCGTAGCTTTAGTTCCTTGAGCTTTCTCCAGCGTCGTGCAGCTTTGTCATCAACCCCTAAAAACTCCGCCCGCTTTGCATCCAAAAATTCCAAGCACATCTCTGCGTTGTGATTGGCCTGCCAGTTCTGGGGCCTGGGGCATTGATCGAGGCTAGAACAAACTCACAGGCAAAAATGATTTTGGCCGCTGGTGGGTGGGGCTAGTTTACTGGGCTAAAAAAATACACTTCTGTCATTTTTAAAAACCCCATAAGATGTGCTGCAATAATAAATCATTCTAACTGCAGAGATAATTTCGTCTTAACCTTTAACAGGAAGGATGGTTTTGTTATGAGTCTCTGTTACTCAAACAGGATGTTTAAATTACTTGATGAGACTTAAATAAAAAACGCAGAAACTCTCCAATATTTTCAAACGCATTAGAGCTAATTGGGCTGATGCCATCAGTCCAGCGGCCGTGGTGAGTTCACTGCCCACAGCCGCTGCTGGACATTTCAGAGAGGCACAGGTTGCCCCGATCACTCTCACTGAAGTGGTATTTGGAGGGGGGGGGGGGGGGGGTGTTACAGCAGCTCCTTAAATGGTGTTTTGCTGATGAAAAACCAAACTGCTGAGTGTCAGCAGAGAAACCACAGTGGTTCATTTCAGGGAAACTACTCTCGGTTACTCAGAGTCAGGTAGCTTCCCAACAGTCTTGTGGAAAATGTTGTTGTTGAGGAGGGGGCCAGTTGTATGCGAGAGATCAAAGATTCTGCATCGGTTTTGCTGAAAGCATCAAAATACTGAGAAAACACCTGCATGTTTGCTTGGTGTCTGCAAGAAAACAAACTTTCTGCAGCTGCAGGTGTGCGGCTCTGATTCTGGACCCATTTTTCAACCACCTGAACATGTTTGTGCAGCTGCTGTAGCTCTGATGATGCAGGGAGAAGAAATCAATGCAGCTCCAACAGTCCAACCACAGGTTAGCCAGTCACCTCTGCAGCTTCGGCCTGCTGGAAAAACTCACAGCTTAAGTCCACATTTAAAACAGACTGCAGACCTTCGATGAATTCTGTATTAGCTAAGCTTTGGTCAAAGCATGTCTGATGCTCTTTATGAAAGATGTTTGTTTCAGATGGAAAACATTCAATATCCAAACTGTCAACTTTAATGTTTCACTATGTGGTAGGACACTCCTAAAGGTCTAGAGCAGAGCTTAGTGCATAAACTAAAAAGATAAAAATCAAAAAGAGAAACCCCGAATGTTCCCACCGATCCACAGTTATATGCTACACTACCTGGTGGCAGAAAGAGGAAGATAATGGCTGCCATCATAAACTTCATAGAGGGAGGTGGTGAGAAACGGCTCCACATGAAGACCATCACAGACCCAAAAGAAACGAGAAATGTCAGCTTCAATCTGGGCCTTGGATTCTTCTCCTAGTCTGGGCTGCTGGATCCGTAGTATTTCTGCAGGAGGAGGAAATAAGTGGTGAAAAAACCTCTATAAAAGCATGGTGTTGGCTCAGGGATGCTATGGGTTTCTTGCCATATACTGAATCTTCAAACAGGACAATGATCCCAACTGGACCTGGATTGTAGAGACAGTTCTGGGAGAACATAGATCGACCGTCGTTGTGAACTCTGCAGCAGAGAACCATGAGAACATCCATGAGCTGAGGCCTTTGGCTGTGAGGAGAAAGCTGCCAGAGAGAAGCTGCTGTTTGGTTCTGAATCAAACAGCCAACAGATTCTCTCCTACGTGATGAAGAAGACTGAATGACTCAGAGATGGCAGGTTTAATTTGGGGAAGCATTAAGCTTCAACCAGCAGCTCGGTTGTTCATTTTAGCCATAAAAGCTCCTGGAACAGTTTAACCTCTCATGAACTGGACCCACCAAGAACCCGAGGCCTGGAAACAACAGAGGACATGTCTCTGTGTGTCTGATGGGGATTTCAGGCGGGTATCGTGTTGGGCGGGGCCGGGACCCACTGGGTCCTGAACACGGCTGTGGTTCCATTCCACTCATCGAAGGGAAACCATGACGACGCAGTGAGTCACCTGCTGAGTGCGGGGACAGACTCAAATGAAAACTATAATACTGTTTGATCTGCATTATTCCAGGTCTGTGTTCATATAATAACCTCATCAGTGGAATAAGATTTCATTGCTTCTCTTTACTATTTGAGTTCCTGAGAAGATATTCTCCCCTAAACCTGACGGGATTCCTCAATGGTCTGATGAACTAAGTGATCAAATCTTAGGGGGCTTTGTGACAAATTGACGTAACGAACGGCTCGGTTGGAGGAATTGATGAAAGGCTGACAGGTTCAGGAGGATTGTGCAACATAAGCCTTATGATTCCAGTCTGCTAAGGCAAACGGGGACAGGCTGAGGTTAGCTTACAAACGGGGTCAGGGGTCATCTGGGGTCAGGACCGGCGTCAGGTTTACCAGAATCTATGACGGTAGCTCTGGTTACACAATCGGAGCGGAGCAGCTGAGGTTTGACAGGTTCTGATGGTTCATCAACCCGGTGATGAATTTTCAAACCCAGATTTTTGAGAACTTGGGAATATTGACTTTAAATCAGTGGTCCCCAAACTACGGCCCGCGGGCCGCATCCGGCCCGCCTCCACATTTGGTCCGGCCCCCTGAACAATACCAGAGCGTATTTTCATATAAGTGTACTTTTTTTTGTATTTGATAATAAAGTTGGACATTTGCAATAAAATGTTCCCTAATCATGAAGTTTTTTTCATTCTTAACTATTAGTAACTATTGCATACACACATATAACGTGACAATGTTCCACCCTTTTGGTTTCTGTGCCCCTATCTGGCAACCCCCAGCAAAAAATCTTAAATCCGCCCTTCTCAAAGAGATACGGAAGAGGATTAGGGCCATTAAAAAAAATAAAAATAATAGTCTATTCAGTTCTGACTTTTTCTCTCAGAATTCTGAGATTAAAGTCAGAATTCTGACTTCTATAAGAATTCTGAATGAGCCCAGCAGTCTCATTGACTTCTATGCCGCCCTCCCAAACGACACGTACCCTAACATCAGAAAACACGCAATGAAGATTTCCACACTTTTTGGCAGCACGTATATATCTGCGAGCAAACCTTTTCATGGATGAAACTGCTGAAAACTTCAATGAGATCAAGATTGACAGATGAACATCTGCATCAGTGTTTGAGACTAGCAGTGACTAAAATGGAACCTGACATTCATTTCCTAACTTTTGCTCTGTGAATAATCCAGAAAGGGTTATTTGATTGTACTTTCTGGAAAACAACAAATTTTTTTACGTTTAGACACTCTTGCAATCGTCACAATATTTCTGTTACAAACTGACCCTGGGACCCCTGCTTTAAATCAATGATTTCTGAGATTTTTAGGATCTTTTAGAGAATATATAGAAAAGAAAAAAGAGAAGAGGTTTAGAGGTGAAGGGTCCCTCCTTCAGGATTTGACTGAAGGAAGTTATAGGATAACTGTCAATGAAAATGTAAGAACAATAAACATTTATACATTTGGCAGAATATTCATCTGCGAGATTACAAGTTTTGAAGTTTGAACTTTCCAAAACTAAAGTCCAAGGGTACCAATCCCAGATTTTAACGGTAAACGGTTCCTAAATTATTGATTTGTTCTTGTAACTTTCTTGTATCCTTAACTTCTAAACTTGTTTTTCTCACAGATGATTTGACTTACATTTACAGATTCAACACGTTTATCTCAGCCTGTAGAAGTAAACTGATTAGTTGGATGTTTTGATCAGAACGCTTCTGTCTGCTCAGCTTTTCTTAGCATATTTTGTTCCTTCCTCAACCAGTAGTTCTAAAAGCTGTGGTTCTAAAAGCTGTAGTTCTAAAAGCTGTAGTCCTGCTTGGGTCCAGGTGAAGGAGCGGAGGCAGCAGGCCCTGATGTACCGCCGCAGAGCCTGGGGAACCAACTTCTCCAGGAACCATCTGAGCCAGCTGCTGTCTGAGTATAACGCTCTGTGGGAGCCCACAGACTCCCTCACTGAGCCCTCCACCCCCCCGCCTGAGGCGGACAGCCGCAGCGCTTCCTGTGTGGAACCCCTGGACCTGGACAGGTGAGGAACGACAGGAGAGGAACCGCAAACACGAGCCAACAGCCGACCTGAGCAGATTTGTGTCTGGTCCCTCCAGTAACTCCAGTAGGAGGTCGTCAGTCAGTGCTGGAGGAACGCGGCCCAGAGTCAGAGAGACAAAGAGGAGCCCAGGAGGAGAACCCGACCCGGAACGCCACACAGCCCAGGGAGAAGAAGAAGATACAGATGAGTAGGTTTTCCTTTTCTTCTCCATCCTTCATTCAGCGTAGGGATGGAAAACCATCAAGTTCTTCATCATTATGATGAAAAACATAATACGAAAACGGAGATAAACTCGAGCTGACTCCAAAATCAGATGATCGAATCAGAACTTTTTATACCAAATCAAATACATTCAGTTTCCTCCTTTAAGTGTCATTTTTTTCATGGTTAAAGGAGAATGAATCTGTTTATGTTTACAGCTGGGAATGCTCCAGTGCCACCAGAAAGAATTCACTTAACTGGACAATGAACCAGTGCTTCCTTATTCAGACTCAACCAGCAGGTCGTCTGTCATCAGAACGACTCCCAGTTCGCTGAAAAAACAAATCTAAAATCGGGTGAAAAAAATTCTTAGAATTAATGTATTTGCATCTAACGTCTAAATGAGATGTCTTATTAAGTTGATTTGCCAACGGATCGGGTATTTTTGCTCTTCCATCCTTTTTTCCATCACGCTTATCCCAAGCGGGGTCATGAGGGGTGCTGGTGCCCATCTCCAGCTGTTTATGGGCGAGAGGCGGGTCCACCCTGGACAGGTAGCCGGTCCATCGCAGGGCAACAATTTTTGCCCTTAGTTTAAGATAATTAGATATTATGGACCTGCAATAAGAAAATAGAGTTGTTCATTTTTCTTATTTTAAATGTAAATAATCTTATTACATTGGAAAATGGTCTCTTACTAACAAGGGAAATTATAATTAATTCCAAGAACAATTCTGTTGCTTAGATTTTAGCTCTTACAGTGTTAGAAACCATCCTGGTTCAAAACCTAAAGCCAGAGATCTTCTGACGTCCTGAATTGTTTAAACATGGTTCTAGGTTCTGGACCGTACAAAACCTTCAGTGGACCTTCGTTACAGGCTCTGTCAACAAACACAAGTCGATCCCATTCAGGAAACCTTCCACAGCGATGGTATCCATAAATGCTATAAGATCCAACCTGATTTCAAACATTTATAAATTACCGCACGTTGTCTGATGGCAGTGTCTAATTTCACTTGCGCTGCTTCTCCTGTTTGTGCGGTAAAGCCGTCGGGGACCAGGCTACACATGATCCAAATGATCCAATGAGCTGCTGTCAGTCTGGGTTGCTGCTGCTGCTACTTTTAGACACAGCAGGCAAACCTGTGGCAAGCCGGGCGATGGGAAAGAAGGAGAAGATGATGAGAAAAAGAGAGCAGAGAAAGTGTGGACTGCTGGAAGAACTTTAAACCCAGGTTTAAAGCCTTGCAGGGCAGCATAAAGCCCACTGCTCTCATTAAGACATTTTTTTAAAAGCAAAGGAAAAAAACGGTGCAAAAAAAACCTAATTTTATTTTAGTGTTAAATTCTGTTTAAAGTAACAGATTATAATTAAAAATGTGTCCGGACCTTTACTGGTGGTTGATTTTCTTTATTCGGACCCCACTGATTTTTAATTAGTTACCCCTGCTATAAACTTTTCTTCCTCCTTCTTTAAATTTTAATCCAGCAGTTATAATTGGAGTCTATTTCTGCCTGAACATGTTCTGCAGCGCAGGCAGAAAGTGTGTCAAAAGTGTGAAACTCAGATCAAAGCCACCTCAGCTTTCAGGAACCAACCCTGTTTTCTGTGAGCAGAGAGGAGGGAAGGTTACCGACTCCCAGAATGAAAACGAGGCCAGTTCAGAGGACTCACCATGACCTGACCACACCTGCCACAGGTAAACTCCTCTACAGCGTGTGAAAACCACCTGATGCACTGAAATCTCTGCCTGATGGTTATCCAGGGTTCAAGTTACGGCTCCTGTGCTGCAAAGACCCTGAGTCAGGGTTTAATTCTGAGTTTAGAGTAAAAAAAAAACCCAGCTCTGATACAAAAACAGCTTTGACCTTGAAGAAAATGTATCTGCTGCTGAAAGAAGGTGAGATGTCTTCAGGGGATCCTCCATTTAACAATCAGCACCTAACAGGAAGATCAGAGGTCAAGCTGAGGTCTAAAAGACGGTAGAACAGAGGAAGCCTGATCAGAATAAAACATTATTTTGCTGCACAAACATGACCTGCAGGAAGGGAAGTGTGGGACTGCAGAGACTTGGTGAACTCACTGAGATCATTCATAAATCTGGCACCAGCTGCAGATTACACTGCAGGCTCCATAATCCAGAATAAGCTCTGTCGCTGCCTAAAACAAAGATTTGATGGAGTTTGGACGATAACGTTTGTTGCTGCTGCAGAATTGAATCTAGAATCATGAAGAAATACCAGTTAGTTACTGATTGGACAGGAAGGGGCCGATGTTCTTCTTCTGATTGAGTCAGACTCTGGAAGGTTGAAGAAAATGAGATGATCATCGGTGGGAAAAGACGTTGGTCTGAGCCTCACTTTCCATTTTCCGTCAGGATTTCTGCCACTGCTAGATATTTGTTGTAGCTCGTCTTTTGTTTGGAGAGGATAAAGCTGCAGGTGGGCGACCATCACACTAAAGGCTCCAAATGATGAAATATTTGATCCAAGATGGAGTAAAGTCAAAGTAAGACCAACGTTTTTTCTGTTGGTCTGGAATCGGATTTGGTCGCTCTTCTTTAGCCCTTTTGTGTTTGTTTGACCAAACCATCTTCAGCTGTTGCCATCCTGGAAGAAAAGTTTCTATCAGTGCTTCTACCCTCAATTTTCCAGGAATTGTAGCTTTCATCCTGCTTAACAAAAGCCCAAAGCATGACGGGTCCACCTCTGTGCTTGACCTTTTCTATATTAGTGTCATGTTTAGTTTTTTAAAACCAGAACTCCTATTATTTACCAAGTATCAGTTGTACTCTGACAAAACCAATACCACCTGATCACCTATTTGTCCGCCAGGGGGCGCTATGCTTGTTGGAAAACTGACCAATGGTGATGATTCTTCTCCATGTAAACATAAGGAGGTAAGTAGATGCTGAGAAAAGCTTTGGTTTTATGATGTCACTGCGAGGTTCAGCTGATTTCTTCCTGTCCAGAAATGTTCACCAGAACCCGAGGCCGCTGTCAGCAGCAAGGCGAGCAAACCGAAGGAGGCGTGGACAGAAAACCACCCAACGTCCTTAAGCCCCCTTCCTACCCACAAACAGACCCTCAGCTCTCAGCCCAAACCAATAAGGACGAAGCAGGCGCCCCTCGCTCTGACACCGCCCCCGCAGCATGGGATCCAGGGAACGCTGAGACACCCGGACTTCCAGCACAACGGTGAGCTCTGGAGTTCTGTTCTACCGCTGAACAGAACCTTTTATTCTACCGCTGCCTTTAAAGGGATGTTTCTACTTCGGGTGGAAGATCTCAGCGGCAGAAGATTGAACGTCATGTTTGAGCAGAGCTGAAGCTAAATGATGGGCTGCTTGATTTTATGATGTCATCATTATCTACAGCTAAACAGATCAAAACACCAAAAAAGATTTAGGAACTAAATAAGTATTACTAATTAGTAAAATAAAATACACGCAAAAAAACAAAAAGGTTTTAAATGAATATTGGTTGTTTTCTTGAGCAACAGTTTTCTTAATGTCACTTTAAAATGTTTTTCAATTCAGTTAATTTGAAGAGAAATGAAATAAAATTACTTCCTGTAGTTTAATGTAATAAAAAAAAACATTTTAATGCCTACCTTGAGTGCGGCACCAGGAGGGGAACAAAGCCGGCCCAAGGCTGGGCCGAGCAGAGGAGCGAGTGTCGGATGGCAGCCTGGGGCTCTCCCTCCCTCCTCTTCACTTCCTTCTCACATTGTTTTCATTACGGATCAGATTTAATAAAAAGACCAGGAAGGTTTTATCAATGGATGAAGCCGGGGAAGAGGATAGCAGTGGTTGTGTCTGTAACTAAACGGGTCGTTTCCTCCTCTGCAGGTGATTTGGGTTTGAGGTTCAGGGAGCTGCCATGTTCCAGAGGAGGCTGCGGGTCTGATGAAGGTGAACCTCCTCCTGAGAAAACTCTTTAAACGACTTTAAACCTGGAAACTTTCACAGTAAATCTCTTTACCTTTTATCACCCAGACGACCGATTCTCTGTGATGTCATGGCGCTCTGCAGCCTCTTGCTCTGCAGCGTCCGCCATATTGGAGCGCGCTCAGAAGAGGCGGGAGGAATTCTGGGGGAAAAGATGACAAACTGGAAATAAACTCGTTCTGCAGAGCTGTGTCCTTCATGTCAAAGCTTTAGATGTTATTTATCTTTGTAGCAAAAGTTGAAATCTTTTATTTTCTTAACAGAAATACATTAGACAGCAGTGTAGATTCTCAAACTCTTCAGTGCTTAAAGTCGTAGTGAAGTCATATTTAAATGTCAAATCATTCTGGCTTTAACATGTTTATAAATGTACTCTTAACCAGACGATATTGTCCCAAAATGTAGAAAATTACTAAAAATCCTGCCTTAAAATCTGTTTTTTTTTTTACCCCGTTATCTTCTGCAGGCCAGTTAGTTATACGTCAGCCTGAACACCTAAATTCGGCCAATCATATATCAACTAGCATCTTGATTCATATGTCGCAGCTAATATACGCAACGGTTGATATAAGAATAATTTCCTTTCCCATTGAGTTCCGTCCCAGTGTTCACGGGG